TATATATATATATATATATATATATATATATATATATATATATATATACATACACACACACATATATATACAAATATAACATATATACACACACACACACACACATATACACACATATATACATACATATATGTGTGTGTACATATATATACATACATACACATTCATATACATATACACACACATATACATATATGTGTGTGTGTATACATATATATATACATACATACACATTCATATACATATACACATATATATATACACACACATATATACATACATACATACATATAGTTTGTGTATGTATGTATATGTGTGTATGTATATGTGTGTGTGCGTGTGTGTGTATGTATGTATACGATAGACAGGAAGGGAGGAAGGGAGGGAGGGAGGGAGGGAGGGAGGGAGGAAGGAAGGAAGGAAGGAAGGAAGGAAGGAAGGAGAAATATCACAGCTCCTCATTAAGAGGAGCCAATAGAACCTCCATGGCCAGGAGCAGTCTATCTTACTGAGCCCTTGAAATGATATTTCTGGGCTTCACGCACCTCCCCCCCCCCCGCAGCCAAAGGGGGAAATCTAAGGGTGGGATTACAACTCCCAGCATCCACAGCCGAGCCACCCTTTGGTTGAGTGGGGGGTGGGGGATGAACCCTCCTTTCTCTATCTACCCCCCCCCCAACTCTACTCCAATGACTGGTAGGGAAGAGGAGAGTTTAAGCCCCCGGCGGGAGAGATGGGACTTGTAGTCCACCCCATCGACGCCCGCTGGGAACCATGGGCTCCGTGGTCCGACCCATCATTCAAAGCGGATAGTTAGGATGGGTTACCAAAAAAAAGGGGGGTGGGGGCTTTCTGGTAGGGGACGATGAGTGTTATAGTCCCCCGGGGTTACCTTCGCTCTGGACCGGCTGGTCTTGCTCCGGCTGCGGGGCTTCACCGCCTCCTCCATCCGCTCGGCTCCTTCTTCCTCCGGGCTTGTTGTTTCTGCGGTGCCCGAAGAGGCGGAGAGGTGGGGGCGTGGTCAAGGTCACGTGATCGAAAAGGCGGGGGCCCTAGACGCAGGAAAGGGAAGAGGCGCCAACCAAACGGCAACTTCTGCGTCCCAATCCGAGGAGAAGGTTAATTCCTTCCCCCCCCCGCCCTTCAATCACTTTGGCTCCTCCGAATGCGTAGCCACGCCCTCCTCTGAATTCAGCCTTGCTTTCCTCCAATCACAGAGCCCGGAACAGGGACGGACTTCAATTCCCAGGATTCCCCAGTCAGAAGGGCTGAATTCTGAACACTGAATTCAGAGCAGAGAATTCTGGGAGTTGAAGTCCAGGGCTTTCAAGATTCAGAAATATTGCTTAAAACACCCCTAGAAGTGAATTATGTAGTGATGCTCACCTGTTATAAGGTGGCAGAGAATGGAATGGAATGGAACAGAATAGAATAGAATTCTGAATGGAATGTGAATAGAAAAGAAGAGAAGAAAAGAGTTGGAAGGGACCTTGGAGGTCTTCTAGTCCAACCCCCTGCTTAGGCAAGAAACCCTACACTATTTCAGATAAATGGTTGTCCAACATCTTCTTAAAAACTTCCAGTGTTGGACCATTCATAACTTCTTGAAGCAAGGTGTTCCACTGATTAATAGTTCTAACTGTCAGGAAATTTCTCCTAGGTTCTAAGTTGCTTCTCCCCTTGATTAGTTTCCACCCATTGCTTCTTGTCCTGTCTTCAGGTGCTTTGGAGAATAGCTTGACTCCCTCGTCTTTGTGGCAGCCCTGGAGATATCGGAACTTTACCAGTTTCTGCTTATAGGGACAGCTCAGCAAGCTGGTGGGGCTGCTTGGATGGGAGACCACCAGGAAATCCTAGGCCCGGCTGATTTAATTTGAAAACAAAGGGGAAGACGTGGGAAACTGTTCCCGTGTTTGTTTCTGAGAAAACTCTCTGAATTTCTCCCTAAAGTCACCAGAGGTCAATTGGAGTTGAAGGCAAATTGGCTTCTTTGATCTTTAGCCCCACTTTGAGCTTTTTGGGAATGTGGGCAATGAAGGACTGTCCCACTTTGTGGATGTACACAAGTGTGAGGAAATCAATGAAAAGAATAAGGTTTGCATTAGTTTTGACATTTTAATGTTATTCATTTGCGACAATGTAGGATCATTGCTTCTCTTTCAGCCACCTCCAGGCTCCATCAATTTTGCAGGCCAGCACTGGGGGAAAAAATGCTCCTCTATACTTTATAAGTCTACCGACTTTCTTCATCACCAATCACCATCGAGGAAGGGAGTCCTGCGAAGTCATAACATTGCAACGTGGAAGAGCGACCCCTGGCGGTTCGGGTGGGAAAGGCAAAGCCGTTCCTCCTTTAAAACAAGCGTTTCCAATTTCTTTTCGGATTTTCGGCCCTGCCTATGCAAATTCTTAATGTGCAATTTTATAATCCTAGAGCGCATCTATTTTCTTGGCCTATGTAATTCCCAGCCCAATAATACATCTGGAGGGAACTAGTCAGGGGTTGGTTCCTGCCAGTTCTAACCTCTTCTATAGAAGAGGTTCCACAAATCTACAGTGCCGTTTAGAACCGGTTCCAGCTCCCCCC